AACTTATATTTACCAAGCTGGAACAGTTAATGAAACAGTCTTTTAATTAGTACTCTTCTTAAGGGTGGAACATCTGAAGGGCTCCCAGTTCAGTTTTGGCTTTGTGGTTGACTGAAGGGTGCAGATCCACTGTTCTAAGATAAAACAGTAATATCTTAATTAAGATGTGCCGTTTAACCGCTAACAGTCAAAGTCAGCACCACTGCATGCACCTCTGTGCCAGGAGCGGCACCTGCAGTACAGGAATATTCACTATGACTATGAATCAATAAAACAATATCATAATTTCTTCTTTTGTTGTTTTGGTTTTTTTTTTTTTTTTTTAGGGCCAGGCCGTTTTTCAAGCTTGACTGATTGAAAGTGGTCTGACTACTCAAGGTAACAACTGGTGAGGGGGGTGGCGGGGTTCTTTGCTGCTTGTATAATGCAGTCTTTGGCAGGCTCTCTCTTTGTATTAGATACATTAGGACGGAAATGTGCACTAACTTTAAAATGCTCATGTGAAAAAACATGGAATGTATTAAATTAATGGTCTCTTTTGCCTCAGGCCAGTAATGAAAAGGGACCCCCAATGAGTTCATTTTTCACTGCTTTGGTTATGCATTCAACACTCTAATTGAATTTCAATGTAAGTTTTACAAAGTCTTTATTACAGTGACTCTTGATGTAAATTACTTGTGATCTATCGTGGGATTTTCAGCCATTAAGTAATTTAATTGTGACATGTACTTTCTATGCACCTCATGCTTTTATGCCTATTTCTCCTCATCTAAATTGTCAGTTTCTTCTATTATCGGCGCCATTTGTGTGGATTGAGGGAAGTAGACTGCATATACTGTGGGCAACCTTCATGAGAACAGCTCCTTAAAAGGAGTAATTGCTTGTCTCCCCAGTGCTAAGAGAGGGGACAGCAGAAGACAACTGAAGTATACTGGAGCATACACAAGTCACAATGCTTTGCAAGATGTTTGCAGATGACTGCACAGAGCACATTTTGGGAAAAGCTGATTATTAGATTTATCCATGAAGGAGAAAAACACAGTATCCAGCTCAAGCAAAACTGATTACATTTTCTGCAAATTTTGACTTCTGAATACCCAGAAAGACGTGCTATACATGCGTGCATGTATTTAACAGAATCCAAGTGGATTTGCAAAAAAAAAAAAAAAACTGAAGCAATATGTTCAGTTCTGTCTTTATGAGAGTGCTGATTGTCCAGTGTTTCATATACTGCGAAGTGTATTCTCAAACCTGTCTGAAATGTGACCTGACAGTCAGTTTTCTCTGTCTCCATCTAGCGTTTCTGTCTGAACTGACTTTCAGAGCTTTTAGACATGCAGAGAATAAATGGAAATCTGCCGCCTCCCTTTTCCTTCAACATAAAGGCTACTGAAAGGACAAAGGTTCTAAACACACACACAATGAAGACGGAAATCTTAATCACAAACTGTAGGTTTCTCATCAGTAGCATGACTGCGTGTGGACACGTGTGAATGTGCATGAGTTGTCTTTGAAACACTGAGGCTAAATTGACCTGATCATTAAAAGGGGGAAGAGGCTTGACCTGATATTTCCTCTGTTGTTTGGTCAGGAAAGGGACGTTATTGTAAAAGGGTTGTAAAGATAAATAACCTTGCCGTTTCCATGGCAAAAACACAAACAGTGGCCGCCGAACACAAAAGAGCAGAAGACGATTAATCCTACACTGTCGATATTGTTTAGTTTTGAGGGTGTTTTTGAGGGAAATATAGTTTCCAAACAAAAGGCTATGTCCATTTTTCCAGAGAGAAAGGGAAATCGGATCTTTTTTTCTCTGCTTTTTTCTGAACAGGCCACGGTTTCATCTTGTGCATTATTTTCCAGGCCACGCCATCCTGATTGTTAATAGGAATATCTGACACCATATTTTGCCTTTGAATCAGGAAACTCCTTGTACAGCTGTATACATGTTTTTATAGCCTCTGAAAGAAAGGGTATTGTCTTTAAATTCCTAAGAATGTTTTGTCCAGCCTTCAAATTTAAGTGGAAAACCATCCCAGGCACCTTTTTTTTCCCACAGGCTAAACAATTATGAGTGAACACGCACGTTTGCCTTATTCTGGAGGTCAACTAAAGTTCATGTCATTACAACAAACATTAACTTTTCTTATCATACAAGTGAACACTGACATAAAAAAGGAAGTTTGTAATTCAGAACGCTCCTCAAAATAACAGCTTCATGTTCAACTCTTCTTCATTTGGAACATTTTTCTAACACCTTTTTTAAAATCATCACCTGATCATCTACAGTATAAACAACCTCCATGACTTCTCTCTCTCTGTCTCCCAACACCTCCCCATCTTCTCATCGTCAGGAGAGATGAACCTCATCAGAAGCGAGGCCTGATGAGGAGCGGCCTTATCACTCCAATACAAGCGCAAACACAGGAATCTTTACAGCATGTCGTCTCAGAAGCACCGCACGGTGAGATTACTGCCCTTTAAGAAGCTCTAAGACATGACCAATCCCAAGTAGTGTTTTATCTTGACAGTTTGCAGCTCTTTGTTTGCCTTTTCTGTGAAGCCTGGGGATAAAAGCGCAGCCTCTGTGAGCTGTGTCTGATTAGGATCTAATTGTTAACATTCACTGTACCTTTTTTATTAGCAGCATGGTGTTGCTATACATGCAGCAGGTAGAGGACTCCCCTGCTGCTCTAGTGTCTTACTGAAGTACTTGCACTAAGGTAGCAGAAGTGGAGCCCCCAGCTCGTCGACATCAACAACAACAACAACAGCAGCAGCAACAACAAACAGGAATTGATGGTGAGTGTTTATTATCTCGTTTAATTGCTCCTCATCTGGAGGATCTGACAGTTGTGGTTAATGAGAGAAGGAGAGGAGGCATGCGCTGTTGGCAGCAAGCTTCATACTGTAAGACGTGTTAAGTGTGTGTGTGTGGTAAAAAGAGGATAGGCCACACTCCAGCTCAGCAGAGGCAACACAGAAGACACTGGAAACATCTAATTGTTTATCATATTATCAGAACATGCCCTTAAATCAGGAATTTCAAGTCCACCCACGGACTTCTTCTCAGGGTAACCTGTGTGCACATACAAATACACCTGGAACCCACCAAACAAACATATAATCTCACAGCACACTAAACTTAGCCCCTCTGCAGGCTGTGTACAGTAATCAGATGCCGAGCAAAGGCAGGATATCGCTGAAATCGAGCCTCTTCCTCAATTTTTCATCTGGCCTGCAGCAGACCTGGGTCAGGTCCAGCCAGGGACCTCCCTGACATTGTGCAGTGTCACGCACACACATCCAGAAATGGATTGGCAAAGAAAGCATCAAGACCAGCAGAGTTTTAAGCAACTGGGGATGTTCAGACAGGGCCAGATATGATGGTCTCACCTCAGAAGAAAGTGACTAGGAAATAGGTGAAACTTTTATTATTTCCACTGCATTAAATGGCAGGCGCACACATATACCACACATCATCGCAAACACCAACAGAGACTCATTGTCCCATTCATAAATTTCTCCCTTTGAGAAACATGGGCATTTCTTAAACAGGGCACACCCGCCCCTTGTACTTGAGCTCAGCAGGCCCACATGGGAATAATTAGGGGTATGGACAAGTTTGGCAAAGGTCCGTAGCAACCAGCTGCATCTGTTCTTATTTACCTTTTGCTCTGGTGCTGGATAATATCATGAGCACATATGCTACTGTGCAACGTAACCGTGGTTACATGCATGAATGTCCCATGATTCTGTAATTACCTGTGGAATGAGATGAAGAGGCCTAGCAAACCACTCAAAGCCTCACAGAGCCTTCCTCCCTCTCTTCCTCCTCACATCTCTCCAGTGGCACGAAGGCCTGTCTGCCTGAGCGCTGGTACGCAGCGAGCAGAGGATGCTGAAGTGCCATTTAATGACCCAAAGTTGTTCACAATAGTAATTTTGACTTCATTTTGGTGTCATTAAACTGCCAGCGAGTTAATGACACTCTCTTTGTATTATGCAGGATCAAATATGTTTATCCTCAAATGAGCTGAGAGGAGATACACTTATTAAATTTCCTGATCTGATTGCTTGTTTGTGCTCACATGGCACAGTTTGTCTGGCAATCTTATTGTTGGATCACTTTGGGGTTTGACAACACTGAACATTAACAAGAAATATTTCATTTTTGCAGTTTAATGGAGACGTCTGCACACAAGATCTTACTATAAACATTTCCACAGAGCACTCCTCTCAAAAAAAAAAAAAAGTATGAAGTGAAACATGTCACATAAGGAGACTGGGATAAGTCACAAGGGGCAAAATCACATTATTAAACATCTTTACAGAGAAAGCTCAAAAGTGGCCAATCAAGACAGAACTTGTTTATAATAATGATGCGTGATTATGAGCAATAACAATGAAGACCATATAAGGATCACTTCACAGAAATGCTTAGAATCCCCCAGATGTGCAAACCATATGCTGTGACTGAAATTAAAACAAAAATGAAACAGTGAAACATGAAAGGGATTTTTAACTTTGTAAAGGCTGTTAACAGTCAGTACAGATAGGGTAATGGCCGAGAGAGGCCACATGAAAGGAGTGGGGATGTTGGCGTGCTTTTTGCACCACTTATTCCATTTCCTGCTCATAAGTTCACCGAACAGATGGGGACCAAAGGCACAAGGAAGTTTAGATTTTCTGCCCCACAGCCCATTGTATATGATGCATGTAACTGCGTAACACTGCACTGTTATCATTTACAGAAGCTTTGGTGCATACCAGGAGGTCACAATAACAAAGGTGAAAAAAGGGTGGAAACAAAAGTGAAACATCTTCAGACATTTTAGTCAAAAGAGTCTGATCCATTCCTGTGAATTGGAAACATTTCAGTTAAACTATTCAACTATTAAAAAGCACTTCCCCTTTTCTACAATTTGCAGGGGTAATCCGGCATACAGCTCAAATGTCAATACAGACATAATGCAACTAATAATAAAAATTCATCTAATGCAAAAATATATAAAAACTGGTTGATTATCAAAATGAGCAGCTGCCAGCAGGATGTGGCCCATACAGGGAGTTATATGAAAACTCATTCAATAGTGCCCTCTACTGTTGGCATAGCATACTACAGCAGACATACGTGCCACAGCAACCCAGTGGCAATGGCTGAAACTTGATTAGTTTCTCTTTTTCCAGAAAAAAAACCTAAACATTAGCAAAGTGTCAGACTCCCCCTAAAAACACAAGATTTCTAAAGTCTGAGATTGATCACTGAGAAGATTTCTGTATTACTGAAAAACAATTCTTTATTGTGAATTAACACAAAGCTTCTCTGAAAGGTGGCATCAGCTGTAACAACTGCAGAGTCTTCTCTACGTCAGCCTGTTTACCCTGCTCGGACAGAGACATGTTTATTTAACGCCTGCCTTGTCTGTGTCTGGATAATGTTCGCCCGCAGGCAGCAGCTGGCAGAGGTCTGTCTCTATTTCTGCTTGTATAACCAAACCTTCTCAGCGCTGACGGACCACAGCATCACCTTTCAAGACTGGGAACAGACATGTAGCACATGGCGCCAAAGGGAATGAAAACAAAATAAGTGAATAACCTAGCTTTAAAGCAAGTGTTGGCATGACAATGGCACTACATTAAAACTGCTCCTAAAGTCTAATTTAAAGTCAAAAAGTCAAAGTAAAAATAAAATTTCATATAAAGCTTTTAATGAAGAGAAACATAGTGTTGCAGAATTTGACGTTATGAGTCCTTCACAACTATGACATGAATTTGATTATGTCGCTGACACCTGAAAAGGTAGTGGAGTAAAAACACAGTTTCATTTTTTGGCCATTATGTATCTTAACAGATCTGTTTCACAAAATTTATCATATTTTTAATTCGACCAAATCCACTTAAGTCTTCGCTGCTTTTGCTGGTCTCTGTTCCCACTGGTTGTGTTGAATCGTTGGCGCTCTTGTTCAGGTGTAACTGTAGCGTGGAAAGATGCTGCTGATGATTCAGTTGCACTTGACGACTCAAGGAAATCTGGTTCTGCTGAAGTGTTTATTGTTGTATTATGAAAATCAAAACTCTCAGCTTTAAAGTTGAGCATGGACAGGCCTGTGGTGTTTGGACCGGGAGATGATGTGATGTGTGACACTGCAGGCTTGACTGTGGAGGTATGATTCCATCATTTAAATACAGTTGAATTTAATTTATACACACAAGCAACATTTATGATTCTACTTTTTAAAATAATGACTTAAAATAGACTTTTGAGTAGCATTACTGAGTTTTTTTTAAACACAATTTTACAAATTAACAGAATCTATCTCAGCTTCAGTGTAGTAAATCCATAAATGAACACACCCTTTATTGTGATTATTATTCCAGAGTTTGACACTAGAAGGTGGTTTTTTCATGAACATGATTTTGTGCCATCACATTTTTTTGTTGTTGTAAACCAATCATTATGTAACTTATGTGAAGAGCGATGTGGAAACTTGAAGCCTGCGTTACGCAGTAGCGTTTTTGGGTCATCAAGCACTTAAACATTTGAAATGAACAATATTTGCAAAACAGAGCATTTTTAGATGCCTTCAACATGTCTGGAAGGGATCTTTATTCCAAACATGTTCGATGTAGATTTGGCTTATAATTATTGTTAAGGTTGGTTTTGAAACTAATAGCAAAGGAAACTTAATGTTGACACAAGTTGATCAGAATGCTGTTAATATGAAAAAAACTGAAAATGCACTAGATACGATACTGATAAAAATCTTCATCTTTAGGATAGAAGTTCAGAATGTACCGTACTTGGCCTGTCTTTTATTGTTATTGTTTGATTTTCTTATGTTACTTTATGTTACTTTTATAATTACTTCTATCTCACCCTTGAACTGTTTGAAAGGTACTAAAGTTGAAAGATTAAGTGATTGACTGAGCAACAAACAAAGGTAAGTACCTGGTGTGATTACATTAAAAGTCTGTAGTGGTCAAAATATCATCCAATAATTAATCACCACTTTAGTTTTACTGTGCTGATCAGCAGCTCACACACTCACCTGTGCATGGCAGTGTGTTCTCCATGGTCCAGTGCATTTTGTGATTTGTCTCTCTGAAGGTGAGCACAACATCCACCCTGTAGAACGACTGCAGCAGTTGTTTGCTTTCCGTACAGGTCTGTAAAACAACCACTGTAATTAATCCTTATAGAAAAAGACGCACAATACTCACATTTTAAGAAAGTTCAGAACCTGACCCAACTCTATTACGCAGAATGGACCAGCATGGTGATTAACTCTAGCTGGGAAATATAAGAGCGCTGCTGTTCCAACACTAACCTTGGTCTGGAGTATTTGGTCTGTAGGAATGATCAGCGTCACAAATTCACTCATGTCGTGCACAGTGACATTATCAGTCTGGTTCACCGACACGTTACTGACAGTCAGTCCTTCGTTGGCGTAGCTGCCTCGCCTAGTCAAACCCATCCGTCGTTTGAAAATGTGGAGCACAGTTTCCTCTGCTCTGGACGCAGTCACTGAAATTTACATCAAGGATCAATCATGTCACTGAGATCAGTGACGTAACTAGGTTTACTCAAATAATGTACTTTGAAACTGTTTATACTTGTACTTTACTTGGTTTATTTAATACTGCTCTATACTTCTTCACAAAAGTTCAGAGGGAAATGCTGTGTTTTTACTCCACTACATTTATTTTACAGCTGCAGTTACTTCAAAATTTAAAGTTTTACACATAGATTATACTCATACAATACAATTCATTGTTGAAGATTAAACCAGTGGCTCCCAACCTCTTTGACTTGTCACTGTTTACAAAAAAAGCAGTGTCTACTTGTTGTGGCTCCTCTAAACTTTTCAGATGCTGTAATTTCAATAACTGTTCAAGGGCTGAAAGAGATAAAACAATGCAACATCAAAAGTCCCAAAAAATAAATACAAATGTATGTAGCAGAACAGTTTTCCTGTTTCTAACCCAGTCATCTCACAACTGTTCAGATTTATCTTGTGACCCTGTGGAGAGGCCAAAGGGACACAAGGCCAAAGGTTGGGAACCCCTCGAATAAAATATCAGATTTCACATATAGTAGTAGGTAAAACTACAGTTACACCTCAATCAGCAACAACAGTAAAATGCAGTGTACAAGTTAATGCGTCAGTATAAATCTAATCATGTAATAATAAATCATTGACAGGGGCTATGTTTCTGCAGAAAGAGGCACTTTTACTTTGCATGCTTTAAGTACATTTCTTGTTAATATTTATGTATGGGGTGGCTGTGGCTCATGAGGTAGGGCAGTCGTCTCCTGACCAGCAAGGTGGTGGTTCGACTCCCGGTCTCCCTGCATGCCTAAGTGTCCCTGAGCAAGACACTGAACCCCGAATTGCTCCCGGTGGCTTGACTAGCGCCGGTGCATGGCAGCCTGTCGTCATCGGTGGGTGAATGGTGTATGATCTTTTGTAAAGCGCTTTGGCCAGTGCAACACACTGTGAGAAAGCACTATATAAAATACAGTCCATTTATGTAGTTTGACCTAGAGTTTAGATGCAAGATTATTCTTCTAATGGACTATTTTTATTGTTGTATTGGCACTTTTATTTAAGTAAATGAGTAGTTTTTCCACCAGTAACTAAAATAAAAGTGTTAAAGCCTTATCTCATAATGTTGTGAAGGAAAATAATAACTTCCACTCCTGGTTTTCTGCTTGTTACCCACCTTTCGGACATGTTGCTTCCATACTGTATGCATACTGACCACTGACCAGTTTCAAGGCCAAGAACTCTCCTTCACTGCCCATGAACTGGATCAACCAAAAAAGACAAAGTTATGATTACAGTGAATTTCAGTGGTGATGCTGACAATGGTCACTGGATGGCAGTACAATGTGTGAGGTTTCTTACTTTGACAGGGCTCAAGACTTCCCTCCTCCTGCCTTGAACTGCAATGTCTGATCTGTTTATATCAACATTCATCTGGATCAAGCTTGCATCCTCCAGAGCTACAATGAAGTGATCCCTCCAAGACAGTGACCAGTGCAACTGTAATTCAAACACAAAACATTCACAGACAGATTCCTCCTTTTCTCTCTCTCATCCATACACATCTACAAACATATTTATGCACATTTTTAGGACAGTTATAAATTCAAGGACTAGATTTATTTACTACCTCCTTATTCAAGTTATAGGGAACCTGTCTGATCACCTGAAGAGGCACAAAGAAACCAAGATTACTTGGTTGAAGCAGCAAAATGCCAAATAACAAGAGTGAAAAATAATGAATTCCAGCCAGCAGTTACCTGAATATACTCTGGGTCACAATGGATTTGCTCTCTGTTGGGCAGTGCAGAAACCACAGGGCATGTCATAATGAAACTGTGAGGTCTGCCTCCAAATTGATTTATCCTCTTCACCAAATTCAGTG